AGAGAAGGATTTGCGTTGTTGTTTTGCATTATACCAGAGATTAGATTGTTATATAAGAGGGGGTTGCAGAGACGAAACATGAATGTTTCAAAACAACATCAAGAGAGAATCAAAGAAAGACGAGCCTTTGCAAAAGATTAGAATAAAGTAAGATACCATGATCCAAAACTAATAAAGACAGAGGGAAAACAATGAGAGTGATTTAGGCTGAAATAGAAAGAAACAAAGGAGGTTATATTCCAACAATGTCTAATCTCCACGCTGACGCCTGTCTGCTATCAACCCAGATAACACTGCAGGCTGTGTGTCATGAGATTTGGGGCAAAAGGTAAACAGGAAATCAAAACAATCTAATTCTGTTTGAGGTTGAAGGGGAAGAGAAAACTGATGTATTGTCCATCCCTATAGAGTGTGTGAAAAGAAATGGCATCTTTTATTCAGGCTCCCGTGAGTCAATCCTTCGAAGAGGAGTTCTGTCCCAACATCACCACCTCTGACAAACTGGAGTGTGTGCGTGTGCGTGTGTGTGCGTGCGTGTGTGTGTGTGTGCGTGTGTGCGTGCGTGTGCGTGCGTGTGTGTGTGTGCATGCCAGCTCTGATTTTGGGAAGAAGGGAAGGTCATTTTACCCTCATTTTTCATATGTTATTAATACCAAAGGCACAGGATCATGTAAGGTTATTTGTGATATTGAGCCATTTTTTCATATGAAAATAGTTGCGTGCATTAAACTGTGGGTGAAATTGATCCCTACTGTATATCATCTTCTGCACTTCAAGTTGCAAAATTATGTTCAGAATACAAAGCCTACAGCAAAATAACAGCCAGGCTATTGGATTTTGAAAAATCACCTAAAGCCTCACAGGAAAGCTTCACCAACTAAGGCAAGTGAGACTCATCACCCAGGGCCTTCTGGATGCCCGCTGGAAGAGATTGTTGGAAATATTATCCTGGAGAAAATTAAGGCTCTGAACAATTCATTTTATTCAGAATGCAAAGCTCTCTCATCCAGTTCTCCTGGTTGTTCTCAAAGTGGGCAACAGCCAGAATATACTTTGAATGTAATAGCACCAAGGTGGCACTGAAGAGAAAAAGAAGGAATCTGGGTCAGCGATGCAAGGTATAGATTTAAATGCCATCAGCTGTGTGGTGAATATCTACTGAATGGCAGCATATGAAGTGACTGCAACAGACATTTAGTGTATGTGCATGTGTGTGGAGTTTTTCTGTGTGTGTAAGTGTGATAAAGGGAATTTAGAAGTGCTTACAGTGCATCAGAAATGTATTTGTGAGTACAATGCAGTCTATGGCCTGGCCAAGACACAGGTTAAGGAGAGATATGGTTACCTTAATACAGACATTCAGGCCATTCATTGTGCCTGATGAGTGACTGGAGGGATCTAATTTTCAAAATGGAGCCAAGCATCAGTGGACGCTCAAAAAACAAAGTGATGACTGCAGAGAAAATCTCCATTTCCCTCTGAGAAACTACAGTGAGGATGTCAGCGTCCATATAGCTCAGGTACTGACATGTCCAAAAAAAAAGCACATACATCACAATTTTTATCTGTTCAATCCTCCTTACCTCTCTCTCTCTCTCTCTCTCTCTCTCTCTCTCTCTCTCTCTCACACACACACACACTCACACACACAGACAAACAAAACCACAGTCACACATGCAGAAAGTGAGGGCTGCCCAAAACCACCAGTAACCCAAACAAAGTCCAAGGTCAGCAGAGTGGGCTCACTGAGCTGAAACCACCATCCCTGGCTTTCATTACCAGGAACAGAAACAGCAGAGGGATGCAGGGACACATGGGATGAGGTTACGTTTGCTGGCTCTGTTTATCTGTATGAGTCTGGCTGGGGCCCAACTCAGGCTCTCTCGTCTGTGGGATACAAAACACTCCAAACATCATGACAGCATCTATTGTTGATCCAAATATCAAACCTTCAAATTATTTTAACAACAGACTATATTCTTCTACATGGCTGAAACAGACACTCACTGAATAGGCACTCTGTTATACTAATTTTACAACAGTGAGAACAGTATAGTTCTTTTGTGTGTTTGTTTTTTTGGTGTGGTTTCTATTTTTTATTTTTTTATTTTTTTATTTGTGCGCGCATGCATATGCGTGTGCGTGTGTGTGTGTGTGTGTGTGTGTGTGTGTGTACATGTGTTGGTCATTCAGTGTGTAACGATAACCAGGCCTGGCGGAGCTCGACCTCTAATGGTGCCTTGAGTGTGTGAGTGGTCAAGAAGCTGTCATGGCTCTAATGAAAACCAGGCATAAAAGACAGCAGGCGCCCTCAGCTCTAAATGTATCACACATACATGTATGCACTCACACACACAGAAACAAGATGAATGTGACCTCTCACCTCTTAAATCCATTATCTCACCTCTTGAGCTCTTGCTGTTTGTTTGTTGTTGTTTTTTTTTTAGTTTTGGCAAATTTAAAGCAGTAACTACTTTGCTACTAAAATGTAAAGAGAAGACTGATGTCAGCCAACATTATCAATACGCAGTGTTGGAAGATATGCAAGTCAAACTGTAACATAATGAAAAGTCCAACAGTCCAGTTATATGAAAATAGGACACTGTGTAGTTTTGCTGGTATATTATGTGTGTTTCAGCCATTAACTTTTTAACTGGTAGGGGTTTTCCAGATAAGTACGGAGCGAATCAATTCAGTCAGCAGGAACAATGCAGTGTGTAGACTTTGTACGTATTGTTTACCAACGAAAAACCTTAATTTGCCCAAACACTCACAATTCTTAGTAAATGATCTAAATGAGCATAACAGCTCATTAAAGGAAGATTAATCAAAAATAAAGTTATGGGAAACTGGAGATGACTCATGATAAGGCTGAAAATGAAAATGACTAATGAATGGGTGAGAGAAGAAAAGAGATTTCATACACGTTTTGGAAAGATTTAGCCTTGGCTTTGTTCTCGGCTTTGGCTTTTTGTCGTCATATCTGCTGTGGTGCTTTCAATAACTACACTTGGCTTTTACATTTTAGGTGATTTGGTACTTCAGAGTGACTCAAAATGATAAAATGTGAAATGTAACACCCTCCTCCTTCCTCCTGACCTCCTGTCTAGACCCAGGCATCATGGCCGAGGTCCTAGTTCTGTCCCTCCCATTATCCCCCCGGTGGCTAACATGAATATATATGTTTGTGTGTGTATATGTGTGTGCGTGAGTGGGTTTGTGCATGAGTGGGTGTCATTACTCCTGCCCCCATTTGACGGTTTTGGGTTAAACAATGTTATTATTAAAGCCTTTCCAGAGTCGCTTCCTGCCTCCCCCCAGTGACACCCTCACCAACTATAAATCAACTGCCTGAGCCCTGTAAGTCACATACGATGCTTGTGTGTGCGCCCGGCCATTGCAGCTGTGCTCTCAGATGCACATGAAGACGACACTGCAGCTGTGAGTGTGTCACAGCAAAGATGAGTACCTTACTTTAGCAGAATCCCTTCAAACAACACAGAGGAAACAGATGATAAATATTAAATTAAAGCATGAGCTTTGAATGTGAATTAACTGTGACTGTAAATGCATTAAGTCTGCATGTCTTATGAGTCGAAACTATTGTGGTTTATTTGGTCTGGTAACACAGCAATGTTTTAAACTGACTTTAGTGTGGCATATGTTATCAAAAAAAAAAACTAAATGTGCAGTAAAATCACAGTGAGAAATCTATTGTTAGTGGTAAATTGAAATGCGAATACAGAAAACAACCCTGCTAGGCCACTAAAGATTAGTTTATGTCTGAACGAAGACACAGACAATTTCATCTCCCTGAGACCAAACCAGATAAATAATGCTCTCTGAAATAAATGGCTCCTGTGCAGCAGTGATGGCTCATTCTGTGATTGTTTGTGATTGTGTTGACACCCCCTGCTGGGCTGAAGACATCACTACCACACGCTGAACAAGCTCACTACCAGCAACAATGTCCCATATCCAATCCCACTTCCAGCCAGGCTACAATATATGAAACACTAAAATCTAGCCAATACTTCCTTCAGACTTATATCACTCCAGCAAAGGGCAAACACAAATGTAGACACAAGAAAGAAAACAACCAAAAAATAATATACTGTACCTTATTGTACTGTATATCCTTAGTCTAAAATGTCTGTGTGTGCGTGTGAGTCTGTGTGCATGCGCACACTCAAGAGAGAGAGTCTAGACAGCTGTATACCCGCCAGGTCTCTTACGACTAAGGAGAGTGAGAAATATATACTGTGCAGCTGCCGAAGACACAGTCGACCCACAAAAGAGCTATTGTGCGCCCACAGCAAAACAATACAGCTTAGCTGAGCTATGAGAAAAAAACCATTGGGATCAATAGAGAATTGCAATTAGCCCACATTGGCAGGAGCAGTGCCAGATTAGACACAGGATGTCGATTCCATTTCCTGCACTATCGGGCCCTCAAACTTGGTTGGCTCACTGTGTAATTGGAGCAACACACAAAACTGGGTAAGACGTTGTAGTGTGAATGTGAGTATGTAAGATTATAGTAATGAAGATAGTGAATAATGAAGAGGTTGAACAATGTCAGAAATCAAAACTAAATTCTAGCTGATGGAATGTAATAGACAGCATGTATTGTATCCATGTACACTTTTGCATAAAAGTTTTCAAAACAGGTTTGAGCGGTTCTTCGTCTCAAGCCCTCAGCTGCTATTATAATACTACAGCAGCAGACCAGTGTACCGACTTTACAGCACTGACTAGCTTCTGATCAGGTCACGTGGCTGAATCTACTCTTTCAATTTTTCTGTTTTACATCAATGTTCCATATGCATAGGTGCTACTTCAATAATCTGAAAAATGCATGACCTAACATTGAAAGAATAGATGTCACCATATATTATTTCCTTTCACTGGCCTGAGTGCAGGGAGGGAGCTCTTGTACTCACACCGTAAATCGTCTTTACGATATGCAAAAGAAATGACTCGCCAATTAAAGGTCTCACCTTTAAGTATGCCTTGGCCTTGCAGTACATCCCTTGAAATCAGCACAGAGTAGAAGCTTTGTGAGAAGCCTGGTCGGCAGGGACCTTTGGAAGCATGCTCCCCATTATTCCTCTGGAAAGGAGAGAATACAATGTAAGACATCGATAAACATGGATTCCATTGATTTCTCTTTTCTTTGGCCCTGAGGCTTGTAAAAACCAGCATATAGCACAGCAGTTAGCAGAAATTTATTCAACAAGTTTATCAACTATATGCCCCTGGGTAAGCACATTGCTGATTTTAATACACACACACACACACATTGCAATGGTTGTGATCAAATGTGCTGTGTAACTTGCTCCATAAAGAAACCAGATGAAATGAGATTTTTTTTAGGTATCGTGCTCTGGGTTAAGTGAGACACACAGTATGCAGCCACAAAAAAGAAAACTGCATGAATGCAGCAGAATTTTCTAGCTCCTGACTGTGGGTCTTCCCGAGCAGAGGGGTCCAGAGAACTACGGAGGAACAAAGCAGTGCATGTCTTGTGTGTGTGTGTGTGTGTGTGTGTGTGTGTGTGTGTGTGTGTGTGTGTGTGTCTGTCTGTCTGTACACTACTAAAATGCCCTGCAAAAAACTTTGCACCCAACATGTAGTGCTCAGTGTTGGTTAAATTGATCTGACCCACTACAGCCACACAAGTAAACGCGCGCGCGCACACACACACACACGCACGCACACACACACACACACATCGGTGCCAAAGCAGACTGTTGTCTAAATGAGGAGGAGGTATAATGCGTAGTTTACCTCGTCTCCTGGTAGGAAATAACGCAGGGGTAAAATATCGTTGTGTCTTTTCACCACATTTAGATGAGAGCGATGCTTCGGTCCCAGAAGCGGCAGAGAGAGAGATTTAGGAGCTGTTTCGTGCGCCGTTAGGAGTAGCCCACCGGCGCCGATTTAATTTAGCTTTCATTGATTAAATGACGAGAAAAAGGTTGAAAAGCACCCTACAACTAAGTTTGACTTATTGCAGGCTACTGCTTTTTGTTCAGGGAAGCATCGTAAATGAATGCACCGCTAGAATAAGCGGGATGACTAGAATTAGTTTGAAAAAGAATAAAAGCATCAACCTTGGCGATTAAATTGAGCATTCATTTCAACTTGATTAGGATATCGCACCCCAGCGATGAACCCGCAGCGAGATTCGTATCAGAGAAGACACCACTAGATGGTTGACTCTTACTTTTTCCTTTATTTTTCTCTCATACATTGAAATTCATTAGGGGACCAATTAGCGTACTTGTACTGCCGGCGCTGCTCTGCGCTGCTGCTGCAGCACGCTGGACACTGCACTCCATGCGACTACATGACTTTATTCGAGCTTATGTGCTATTGCTTTGAAACCCTGCACCTCTGAGACGCTGCAACTCACACTCTCATAACTCCTCTACACACCACAAGCTGTACTAAAAATGAGAATTCTCACCCTGAATGTGGCAGAAAGAAGGACTGCTGTCAGGACCAGAGCGAAGTCAGTTCTCATCGTGGCGAGCAAGCGCGTCAGGGCTGCCTGGACGAGGAACCAGAAAGAGGGTCGACTCCTAATTCTTCTCCAATAATTGTGTAATTCCCCCCCTTCTTGGTCAGACTGTTTGATACGTCCCTCCGCGCGCTCCGTGAGTGTGCTGCAGCTCTGCCCCGAGTTTCCCCGGCTCTCTCATCTGCAGGTGAGCGCTCCGCTCAGCACCAAGGCGCAGCCAGCGTCACTCTCCAACCCCTCCTATCACCCGGTGCAGGAAAACTCCCCACACGCACTTAAAGAAACACTCGTTGGAGCTTCGGATCAAACTACCACACCGCTGGCATCTTTCCGAGAAACCCGATATTTTAATCCCGCGCCTGTTGTGACCAAAGGGCAAGATAGGTTCATGTTTGTAAAATCCACGGTCTGAAAACCACGATTCGAGTGTCTATGCACAGATGTATGGGAAAAACACATTGACCATTAGCCATCAAACTTCCACCACTGCTTTATAAGCATGTCGCTTCAACATCTGATATGCTCTTTGATAGATTTCGACAGTTAACTAATTGCGCAGAGTTACGCGGCACCGGAACGTATTTTGAAAATGCCTTTAATTTTCTTTTATATTTGCTTTGCAATAATGTCATGTAAAAAAAATTCTTTGAGATTAAATTCAGACAAACAAACATAACAGATGGAGTAATCTACACATATCACGTGCTCAGAAGGTACTATATGACCTGCAGGTGATCAACACAAATGAAAAATCATTTAGGAAAGCCTGCTATACTCCCCACGCCAGCCAGTAGAATCTATTAAAAAAAAAAAATAAAAGTCGGTCATCACATTGACGGGTTCTTGAGCTTATCCCTGTATTATAATGCCACAATTCTCTTAACATATTTAACACTTCTCTTCTTTGAGAGAACACATTATTGTGTTACTTTTCAATACAAGATATTAATAGCTGTTTTTGTGGTGTGATTAACACATCATGAGCCACAATTCTAAATGTTTTGATTTTCCTTCTAATCCAACAATTTCTACGTATTACTTTGAATAATGAAATGCCATTAGTGGATGTTTGTGGCATGTAGTAATGGATGCACTTTTCTTTTGAATTATTTATTTTCTGTGATATTCAGACTTGAAGACTATGGTAGGAAGTATCAGCCTGCCACACCAAGTAAATCCAGGAATGCTTTTAACAGAATTCAAAGACAAAGATGCTTTATATGAACAGAAGTGGATATTGACCCTAAGTCGGTGTGGTATCTATTGATAGGACCAGTGTTTGGTATTTTATGATTTTTATCACATTTATTAACCAAGTCATTCAGCGTTGTTCAGCAGCAGTTTTCATTTTGTAGAGATGTCCTTAACAGTGTGCTTCACTCTCACTTGATGAACTCAACAAATACTCAACCTACCTTTTTCAACAAATCTAACATTGTCTCTGAGACTGAGACTATAAAAGAGAAATTTCATCAAAAGAACCACTGAACAAAGGTCAAGTCAAAGGATTTTCAATCTGAATCTAAATGTCTCACAAAAAACTGAATTTAGCTCTCTTTGAACTAAGCTTCTTTTAAAAAAAACTGTCTTCTGACAAAAAGGGCTGACAAGGCCATGTCTAAGTATTACCTTGCACCTGTGTGCATGTGGTTCAATACTACCTATTACCATTAGCAGTCCATGTGCCTGAACAGAGTCTTGCAGCTACATAAAACCCTTCTTTGAACAAAAAAACAGCATAATATGGAGGTTGGTCTGTCTATCTGGCCTTTTGAGCTACTAATGACCTTTATATTCAGCCGTTTCTGATTGGCAGACTGGTCTCCATATCTGCTTAGTGAGCCAATGGGCTCTAATCCTATCAAAAAGAATATGACTCTGCATTAGTGGGCGGCTGCTCAGCCAATTTCCTCTGTGTGACATGCAGGCATTTTACCACCTCTCTCATCCCAATCCCACGGTCCCAAGGATCCACTCAAACACTCCTAACCACAGTCCTTTTTTATTCCTGATGGGCCCCGTGACATGGTTATGGTTTTTGTCCTGTTAAATGCTGTGATTGGCAGGTCTCTCTGCGGTGTATGTGTGTGTGTGTGTGTGTGTGTGTGTGTGTGTGTGTGGCTCAGATTAGGGCTCAGTATGTGGTACTGTCAGAATAACTCTTTCACCAGTCAGACCGTTGATACACAATTTTGCAAAATGCCAAACTGCATTATTATTTATTCAAATGACTTATTACTATATCTGTACATCGCAACTACAGTGTAACTGGCTAACATAGTGTTTTGCCATTTCTCGACACAGGTGGGGACATTTTCACTGAGCTGAGCCATGACTAAGTACAGCCATTCATCCTGTGTTTGCACCGGGTGAATGTTTTACACAGAAATGCAGGTAAAAGGTGGTGTTTACCTTGATAACGTGGTGGAGATGTGCTGATTCACACACACTGCAGTACAGCCTGTCACTTGCATTTCTTTATCCAACTCACTGTGGCTACTTCTTCATGTACTTTTCCTCCCTTAAAACAAATCAGATAAAGCAGAACGCAGTATGTCCATATCTTATTGTGAAGACCACTTTTTATTTTTAAGAATAACAGTGCTAACAAGTAACTACAGTGCACTGCATTTCCTATAGCTGCTTGACAATTAAAGCCTCCAGCAGGTTTGCCACCAGAGAGCAGAAACAGCAGGAACTGTTCAGTTTGCATTAGCAGAAGCTCTGATTCAGCCGTGAACTAACTGGTAACCAGTGAAATAAAACTGTTATCTGAAAGTAGTGAAAATAAACTCCAAACCACAGAGATTCAGTTCCAAGCTACAAAAGGACTGAGAGCTGAACACAGACTTTTAAAACAGTACCGTCTCTCTTGCAACACATACATTGAGCATGTATGTGTTGTAAATTGTCGGCTGCAGAGATGCTTACTATGACCTAATTCCTCAGGTCAGTGTGTTACATAAGTGACTCTGGCAGATTTAAAAAATTCAGCCATGAAGACATTAACAAAACAAATTCTTTTCAAGATAGTATAGTCACACATCATAAAATGCAGTTTTCACATATTTGTATTAAGTTTTATTTAGTTTCTAATGTACAGTATGAAAATTTGTAATTTTGTTTGTAACTTTAAAGTTTTATCTTGATTTATTGTGACAGTGGTTTAAGTTTTAAGAACTAAAATTTTGTGACCTTCTGAATCCCATTTTTCATCAATTTTAAAAACTTACATTGGAGACCCAATATTTTTTTTTCTTTTCTTGTTTGTAGCTGTTCTTCTTAATCTTATTCTTTGTTCAATGTCGTTAAGAATAAGGCTTTGTAAGGACCACTGAAAACACAGCTACCCAACATGAGCAAAATTATTCCCTTGCCAAATTATTACATTCCAATAGAGGCACAAGAGCCCTAATTTTCCTGTAGGTACTAAATAGAGAAAGAAAAATTAGCTCGACTCAGATTTTGTTCAAAGTTCACTCCTGCATAACATTGGTGTTTTCTGAAAAAAACCAACAGCATGAACTTTGATAGATGATTTTACAGCACTGTTCCACCCAATACGAACATGGACTTGTTATTCTCGCTTTGAAATGTTTGAAGCCTTTCTGTATCCCTTCGTGGCATTCTTCAAGAAAGAAAAGAGGATGTGAGGTGGAGTATGGCCAAAGGGGAAAAGTTCCGATCTTCACTCTTTAAACATGGTTTTCTAGTGTTTTTGTACATTTCACACTGTACTATTGAGCCTTCACTATATGGCCCAAAACACACACATAGTAAATATCCGAGTTCACTGAATATCTCCTATTGTAATCATTCATGTGACTTTCATGCTGTGAGAGATGGGAAAAATAACTTCAAAGTTACAGTAGATTAAAAGCTCGAGTGAATTAGGTGTAGTGTCTTTGCATAGATAAAAGTCATCGATGGTCCCTTCAATGACAGAGCACTGTTCAAAACCTACGATACAGAATATGATTTTCATTGTTAAGCTGTTAACTTTGATTGTATTTTGTACAGTGACAGTAAAGGTTTTTCAAATATACTGCTACACTTAATATTGTCTAAGAAAATGCTACCTTCTAAATTTAACCTAGCTGTCGTGGTTGTTCACTTCTCCCCAAAATTCTCAGTGGTCAAACACTGCGTTCTCACCTCAAACTATGACACCCCCTAGCTGATCAACCACTAACATTAGCATGCTAACATTTGTGTAATAGTAAATGCGTCTCCAAAAATCTACAAATATTTCATATATTGTTAAATACACAAATACCACAACCAAACATCCGATTTTAGTGTGGCTGGTTAAGATAAAGCAAAAAACATATTAGCTAGCCAAACTGGCTAGAATAGTGATAGTAAAATGGCCACTGTTTGTAGCTTGCTAAGCTATGTTAGCATCATTAGCACACAAAATAGACGTACATTTGGTTCACTTACATCTTGTCCATTGTCCATTGTTTCTCTCTGCCTCTCCTTTTGTGGCAGATTTGGGCTTTGTGTCAACCTATCTAGACTTCCCCCATTTTAAAAAGAGAGAAGAAAAAAAAACCATGATGAAAGTGTGCACCAAAACGCTGTTCAGATGTTTGGCTTCACACTCATGGCTCTTTTAACAGCAGATATTTTGGCTTGACACAGCAGATAAATCACAGGTGGAGCTCATAAAATTAACGAGGCCTCAGTTACATTTATGTCTCCCAATAAGCCATGCCCCCGAGAGCCAGCATGCACCCTGCCACTTGAACACATTGAACACATCGATTCAAGTGAATGTGCATGCGTGCATGCGTGCGTGCGTGCGTGTGTGTGTGTGTGAGAATACAAAAAGAAAAGGTAAGAATTAAATCTTGAGAAAAATGTCTTTTTCTTTATCTCAAGTTTAACTGGCAGAACCTTTTCAATGTCAAATTTTGATTGACATCCAGTAGCGCATGTGTTGCATTATTTCTTAAACTTAAACATATACCCTAACAAGCACGTTTATTTCTTTGATACTGCTGCAATAACAGTACACTACAAAAATATAGATAGAACCAGTATGTATACCAAATCAGTATGA